ATATATGCGCGTATTTTACCAGCTATGGACTCAGACCGCCATCTGGCGGTAGCCTTCATTGCCCACTATATATCACAGGAAGCCACGCGTTCTCTATAAATCCACACAAAAAACCTTATTTCGCCATTCTTGTAAAAAAAATGTGATAAATTCTCGTAGATAATTCAAGGTTCTGGTTTAATTTATTAGCATAGACACCTAAGTGCAGTTTTGCAGCATTGTTATAATAGCAACTATAATTAATATACGGCAATATTTTGCGAAGTAAGGAAAGGTGGTACATCTACCCTAACATTACCTCGTCTCACCCTTTTATCCTGGCACAGAGACATCACGTTTGTTGTTGTTGAATTAAATTGTTTTACATCTAACAGCGTCTAATCTAACCTAATTAAAATTAAACCTAATACGAAAAAATAAAAATAAATCTAATACGATAAAACTTAAAGTAATGACAGTTCTCATAGTAGCAATATGTACATTGCGAGGTTTCGTCGGATATCAAGCGAGAAAAACAAGGAAAGCAGCGATATGACGGGTTTTTAGCACATTTTATTTTGTCACATACGGCCTCTGCTTATTTACATTCTCGACACGCAGCTAACTCCACGCGGCGCCACCTACAGGCCAACGACGACAACGACGCGAGCTGACATAACTACTACTCGTAATCTCTAACGCATAAACACGCACAGATGCACTCACGCACGCGCATAAGTTACATACCCCTCCCAGCACAATCACAATACAATTACAATAAATCTGGTTAAATTACGAATGCGATAAATATTTATAACAATCGAAGTTTCGTTCGGGAGTCGACACCGTTGGCAATACTTTAGTGAACTGATCAGGAACAATTGGGTGCATGCAAACATTTCACTGTAACATTTAATAATCGGGCATTATTACTACCACCATCACGAGCAGTGGTGTATCCAGAAATGGATGCACAGGGGGGCGAAATGTACCTGGGCTGCCTAATTAAGGCAACCACGCGTGCCGCTGGCATGCCAGCGCTAGGGGGGTCTGGGGGCATGCTCCTCCAGGAAAATTTCGAAATATTTTCCATTTTAAAAATTTGAAATAATTGCCATTTTCCTGCAATCTAAGGCATACTGTGGGCCATATTCTGATGCCTGATGACACTATCCTAGACTCAAACGTACAATTTAGGATTTAACACTTTTTTTCTGGGCCTGCAAACGGGGGCCTTTTTTGTACGCCGGCTCCGCCCTATGCTGGATACGCCACTGATGAATAAACTTGTACATTACTACCAGTGGTAGATGCGCGTAAAATTAAAACATACTACAGCGTAAAATTACAGCTGTGTACAGTCGAACGTGCATTAGCATAGTCATCTTTGAAATGCCCACTTGTCTATAAAGGACAAATTTTGCACTTCCATATGATTTCATATTGATATATATATATACGTGTATCCGTATATGCCGTATGATTGATTTCCTTTAGACAATTCCACTCTCTATCACCACAACACCGAACCAAACAGCCTATAATAGTACTAACAATAACAATTAGACGAATAAAAATAATAAGAATAATAATAAATTTAATTAAAGCCTGTAATTACCACTGTTATTATTATCATTATCATTATTACCATTATTATTACAGACTTTTCGGTTCACAAAAACATTAGTAACCACAAACTAAAACGACATAAAACTCCGCTGTCACCATTAGACGACACAACCTTCTCTCTATCTTTCTCTCACATCAGATCTGGAAACAACTCGCCGAAAGATTCCTGCCACGATTCTCCGCCGTCCTCCTCCGCCGCCGACCCCGGCGACCCCATCGACCTCGGTGACCCTAACGACCTCGGTGACCCTAACGACCTCGGTGACCCCACGCCGCAGGGTTCGCTGCCGTACGCCGAGTCGCAGCCCACCAGGGCGGCGCTGGCATCGTCGAGGTCGAGCGGAGCGGGAGAGGTCGCCGGCTTCGTGTCTCCATCCTCCGTCTTCTTCTCGTCTGCGGAGGTGGCGCCATCTAGCAGGCATGTCGGCAGCATTTGGAGGTCAAGGTCGCTAAAGTCGATATCCATCAGTTCTGCAAAGTCGTCCGCTGCCGCGTCGTCGTCGTCGTCGCGGCGACCATCGCCGCGGCGCGCCGGGAGTTCGCCGGCTGTCGTCGTCTCGCTGTCGTTGCCGTCGGCAACGATCACTCTGTCTCCGCCGCCCGTCTTGTAGTACATGTGATCAAAGTTTACGAGTTCATTGCTGGATTCCACGAGCGCTGGTGGCGCCCCCACCAACGACAGTGAGGCGCCAGCTGCCTCAGCGCCCTCTCTTGACTGAAATGCGAAACGAGAGAAGTTCGTTTTAACACAGAGTGAGAGTCATAGAGAGAAAGAGAGAGAGAGAG